ACTCATTTCCAAGATATGATATTTTGCTGTACATTACTTCATACTTTTTCCTATGCATGAGGATTTAGTTTTTTTAATGGATCAGATTATACATACAAATGTTTTAATGACTTGCATTTTCTCTTAATATAACTTGGATACTGTAGTCATAGTATAAATAAAGCATAATTAGCAAAGTTCCTTGAGGATAGGCTATCTTGTTTAAACATTTATGAAGCAGAACACACAATCGATTTAATTTTTGAATGACTACATTGTAATGATTTCTATGTAACAATAGATTACACATTCTATCTAACAATAGGGAAATTTTTCCTTTAAATTTCTATAAAACTCTTGGATAGATGATGTAGGATTCATTTTAATTGCTAATTATATTTAACATTTTTTATATTTATACTATTTAATAATTAGGTACCAGTTATTTTACCTCTGGATTTTTAAAAATTTTTTATTTTTTGGTACCAGGGATTAAATCTGGGGGCACATCCCCAGCCCTATCCTGCATTTAATTTAGAGACAGAGTTTCACTGAGTTGCTTAGCACCTCACTGTTGCTGAAGCTGGCTTTGAACTCCCAATCCTTCTGCCTCATCCTCCTGAGTCACTGGGATTATAGGAGTGTACCACCACACCTGGCTAGACTTACATTTGTATGTAGACTTACGTAAGAAGTAAAAAAATAAAGAAATGTGGGCAAAAATACACATTTGTCTGTTTTTGTTAATGATTTATGAAAGCCTTAATTTCAAATTATAATCTTATTTTATACTATTCTTAATTTAATAGTCTCTAATCCAAGTTGAAAATATATTTCAATATTATCTGGTGATCTAAAGGCAACTGAAAGCCTGTCGTGAGGAACACAATAAAACACTCAGGGTCACTCCAGGGGAACTGGGCTGCACAAAATAACCACACAAGAGACAGAGATACCTTCTTCTTTGGGGTCCTGTGATGGCTCCTCTGACCTTAAGGATCCACAGAAAGAGAGCAAGCAGGTGCAGAAGCCTTTTATTGAGGAGAAGCCATTAAAATGAGGCAAAGGGTCAGGTTTCGGGGGGCTGAGTCTAGCTTCATGATGTCTGCTGTCAGCAGGTTGACTGACATCTAGGAAGGCCACACCCAAAGGCAGAGCAAGAGAAGGGGACACACAAAGGGCATTTCCATGGAACATTCTATGCCAAACAGGGCAAAAGGGTAATATCACAAAGGAACAGGTGAGTGTAGCTCAATCCATGGGGTGACACGCCTACTGTCTGAAGACACGTCCTCAAACTTCCGGGACTGGGGCAATGTCCAAGTCGCTAAGAGATGTAGTGCGGGTAAGAGCCTCTCTGCTCAGGGAAGGAAAATGCGAAATCATTCAGACTGGCTGCCCACAAAAGCCAAATTCTTTTTCTAGTTAATATGCAAACTGATAATTCATATTTTTTATTGTCTCATATATTTAACACTGCATATCACTTGCATTGTTTAAATCATTGAAGTAACATGGAAGATAAGTCGTTGATTAATTTCCAGTGACTGGGAAAAGTTACCTAGTGGGGACAAATGGACTATTAAATATTCAGAATCAAGACAATGGACACAGTTTCTTTAGCCAGGAATAAATCCAAGTGTTTTTGTGTTAAAATACAAGAATGGCACTAAGCAACTTAGTGAGACCAACTCTAAATAAAACACAAAATAGGGCTGGGGATGTGGCTTAGTGGTTGAGTGCCCATGAGTTCAACCCCTGGTGGTCTCTTCCTCTCCCCACAAAAACAAGAATGCTTTATGTTCTACCTATGTTTATACATAGCTACCATGTGAGTTATGGGTAAATACTGTACTGGCATCATCCTATTAGCCTAACTAAAGGCTGTGTTTAAAAAATTTCCCAGCTCAATGTACTTTTAAAAAGACATGATTTTTAAAAAGTTCGGATTTACAGAAAAATTGAGATTTTAGTGTTCCCACTTATGTCCTCTCCCAGTTTCTCCTATGATGATCATCTTACATTAGTAAATAACTTTTGTTATAATGAATGAATGAAATTGATACATTAATTAACTAAAAGCCATGGTTTATCCATATATATATATATATATATAAATATTTAACCTAATATCCAGAATCCTATGGGACACATTACATTGATGTATAATGTTCCATTAGGTTCCTCTGGGGTGTGGCAGTTTCTCTTTCCTTGTTTTTGATGACCATGACAGTTTTGAAGCACACTCTTAAATATTTTGTAGGATGATCCCCTTTCGGGATATGTCTGATGTTTTCCTCATGATCAGACTAAGGTTAAGAGTTTTGGAAGGAAGAGCAGCTCAATAATTTTCTTAAGAGAATTTGGTACCTACAGGTTAAAAACATATCTAAATTTCATCAAACTGTTACCATGGACATAACTCATGTATCATTTTTAGCACTATGCCTGTATAAAATAATGTGATGATAAAAGAGATTGCCTTTTTAAAAAAAAGAGGTAGATAATATAACACTACAAAGACAGCAAACAGTAGTCATCATAGCTCACTTTCCCAAGTCTGTTTTTTTTTTGGCCTACTTATAGATGACAGCAGAACGCATTTCAACTCATCGTAATAGAGCACAACATTTCAATTCTCTGGTTGTACACGATGTAGGGTCGCACCACTCGTACAAACATGTATGTACCTAGGGTAATGATGTCTGTCTCATTCTACCATCTTTCCTGCCCCATGACCCATTCCCTTTCCACCCTCCCCTATGCCCAATCCAAAGTTCCTCCATTCTCCCCATGCCCTGCCCCCATTATGCATCAGCATCCACTAACCAGAGCAAACATTCGGTCTTTAGTTTTTTGGGACTGGCTTACTTGGCTTAGCATGGTAGTCTTCAACTCCATCCATTTACCTGCAAATGCCGTAATTTTGTTATTTTAATGCTGAGTAATTTTCCATTGTGAGTATATACCAGGTTCTTTATCCATTCATCTATTGATGGGCATCTAGGTTGTTTCCAGTTTAGCTATTGTGAATTGAGCTGCTATAAACATTGATGTGGCTGTGTCACTACAGTATGCTGATTTTAAATCCTTTGGGTATATACAGAGGAGAGGGATAACTGGGTCAAATGGTGGTTCCATTCCAAGTTTTCTGAGGAATCTCTATAGTGCTTTCTAAAGTGGTTGCACCAATTTGCAGTCCCACCAGCAATGTCTGAGTTTACCTTTTCCCACACATCCTCATCAACACTCATTGCTTGTACTTTTTTTTTTTTTGAGAGAGAGAGAGAGAGAGAATTTTAATATTTATTTTTTAGTTTTCGGCAGACACAACAACTTTATTTGTATGTGGTGCTGAGGATCGAACCCAGGCCGCACGCTTGCCAGGCGAGCGCGCTACCACTTGAGCCACATCCCCAGCTCCTCATTGCTTGTATTCTTGATAACGGCCATTTTGACTGAAGTGAGACGAAATCTTATAGTACTTTTGATTTGCATTTCTCTAATTACTAGAGATGTTGAACATTTTTTCATATATTTGTTGATCACTTGTATATCTTCTTCTGAGAAGTATTGTTCAGTTCCTTAGCTCATTTATTGATTTGATTGTTTGTTTCTTTGGTGTTAATTTTTGAGTTCTTTATATATCCTGGAGATTAGTGCTCTAGCTGATGTGCATGTGGCAAAGATATTCTCCCACTCTGTAGGATCTCTCTTCATATCATTGCTTCTTTTGTAACCCTGTTCTTCATGAACTAAAATTACTGTGAAAGTCTGATGAAAATGCATAAATAACACATAGCTAGTTCAATTCTTTTTTTTTCCCCTTCTTGGTACTAGGGATTGAACCCAGGGGTATTTAACCTCAGAGCCATATCCCTAGCCCTTAATAGTTTGAGACTGGGTCTTACTAAGTTGCTCAGGATCTTACTAAGTTGCTCAGGGCCTAGCTAAATTACTGTCTTGCCTTGAACTTGTGATCCTGTGCCACTGCACCCAGCTAGTTCAATTCTATTTATCTTCAGAGGTAAAAGGTGAGGTTTATGTATATCTATATTTTCAAAGCACATTGTCACTTTTTTTTTTTTTTTTTGTCTACCAAATAAACAAATAAGCATTGTGCAGGATTCTGTAGCTTTTGGGGCAAAAATAGCCTGTCCCAAATCTGAGAAAAATTTCAGCAGGCAATCCTTTTCAAAGAATGGTCTCCTGCTAGGCGCAGTGGTATATGCCTGTAATCCCAGCAGCTCGAGAGGCTGAGGCAGGAGAATCCAGAGTTCAAAGCCAGCCTCAGAAAAAGTGAGGCACTAAGCAACTCAGTGAGACCCTGTCTCTAAATACAAAATAGGGCTGGGGATGTATCTCAGTGGTCGAGTGCAACTGAGTTCAATCCCCAATAACGCCCGCCCCACCAAAAAATTGTCTCTTCAGTGGTCTTCAAACCTTAAAGAGTGTTATCAGATCTATCTGAGTGCTTGTTAAAACACAGATTTCTGGCTGCCATACGTAGCAGTTTCTGATTTGGGATCTGGGCTGAGATCTCAGAGTATCCATTATTTTAACAAATTCCCAGATGATGCCATGGCTACTAGCCTGAGGCACACCATGAAAACCACTGCTTCACATTGAGGAAGAAACTACATTTATTCAGTGCCTATGATGATTAAGACATTTTACATATATAATCTTATTAACTGACTAGTTGTAGGATCTTAGCATGTGGGTATAATTTTCCTTTCCTTTAAGTGGAGAATCTTGGGGTATGGAGGCACTGAGGAACTCACCTCCTGAGAAGATAATGACATTAGGAGCAAAACTACAACTCAGATGTCCACCCAGTTCTAATGTCCATGTTCTTTTAATACAGTATATTGTACTGCTTCTTGTTCATTAAAGGAGTGAAATATATAAATCTTCAGCATGCTCATTTGAAAAAAGGGAAAGTGGCCATGACTCTCAATGAAACCTAGGCAAAGGCTCAAGGTCATGGAGAAGAATCACTTGTTTCTGAACTTCTAAAATAAGGGAGAAGTGAATTTATTGTACAATTAACAAAACAGGATAAATTTATTTAATATAGAACTGAATATTCCTTAATTACTACTATTATTCATTACAGAAAACATATATTTAAATAAATCCTTAAGAGAATAATCTCATTTAAATTTAAAGCAGCATACTATTCTTACTCTAAATGTCTGCCAGTGCACACTACATCATTAATCAACACACTTACTCTGAAGTAACACAGCATGGTGGTCTTCAGCAAAAGTGCTAAAATTTTTATCTTCTTTTACAAAGCAAATAAAAAATAGTGATATAACAATAAGCAATTTAAGTTATAAGTGGTACATTAATACCATAAATAGATTTAAAAAAATGAAGTTGCCAATAATATAAATTTGTTATTTTGTTATAAGGTATATAAAAAAGGCAAGGAGACACAAAATTACTGGGCTTCAGATTTAAAATAATTAGTGAGATCTAAATTTCAGAATGACAAAAAAATCACCCAACTCTCTATCTCTATCAAAACAAACACTTTATATAAGAAAGATTCCCTTTTAAATATTTATACACATATCACCATTAATACTGTTAATAAAACTCATAGATATATTTATTTAAATAAGAATTAATAAACTGCCCCAAATGCTGATTTTTATAGCACAAAGCATAATTATTTTAACTCAACACTTTGGGTGGCATATTGAATACAATGCTTCTTTAGATAATATTAACAAGCAAATTTTTAAGAATATAATTTCATCTACAGGTCAGATAAAGCTTTATTAAATGGTAAACACTTGTAACAGTGCAGAAATACAAGTTTCAAAAATAATACATTCAGAAGATCTGCTGTTCAAATAATATTTTCTCAAAACCGGGTGGAGGAGTATGATAAAATTCACTGAACTGGCAATCCAAAATTGCACTGTCATCAACTAGAAGATAGAAAAAGAAAGAAAATAAATTAGAAGCAAACACCTTTGGAATGAATGCATAATTACAAAATCTACTGTTTTTGGACTAGGGATGTAGCTCAGTGGGAGCACCTGCTTAGCAGGCATGAGGCCCTGGGTTCCATCACCAGCACCACAAAAAAGTTAAAAATAAAAATAAAATAAATTGTTTTCTTAATATCATAACAGGAAAGAAGAATAAACCTTTCTGTTGTCCAGGCTACAAAATCTATTAGTATTTAGTAAAAACACTCAAACAAAAAGCAAAATCTATCAAAAACACTGGAAGGGTATACATCAAAACATTATTAATAATTATTTCATGCCAACTGCAGTGGCACATGCCTGTAGTCTCAGCTATTAAGGAGCCTGGGGGAAAGAGGATCTTAAGCCCAGGAGTTTGAGTGCAGCCTGGACAACAAAGAAAAACCCTGTTTCTTAAAAACAAAAACCTCCAGATGGTGTGAATATGGGTATTTCAAATATTTTTGGTATTTTCTCAATTTTATATAATTAAGATGTATTATTTTATACTATAATGGCTTTTTGGAAAAAATTATGGATTCGTGGGAATTTGCAAATATACTATAAGGAGTCTCATGTATCCTTCATTCAGCTTGCCCCAGTGGTAACATCATATATTCTTATACTACAATATCCCAGGAAACTGACACTGATATACTACTGAGAACTAGACTACAGGTCTTATTTAGCTTCTTCTACATGTTTTTGTTTGTTTTGTTTTTTGTGGTAAATGGATTTAATCCAAGGGCACTCTATCACTGTGATATCCCCCTAGCACTCTTTATTTTGAGACAAGATCTTGCATAGTTGCTCAGGCTGGCCTCCAACTTGCAATTCTCCTGCCTCAGCTTCCTGAATCACTGGGATTACAGGCATGTATCACTGTGTCTGGCTTCTTATAAGTATCTACTCAAGAGAAATCAATGTGTATATTCATACAAAGGCATAAACATGAATGTTTATACCAACTTTATTTGAAATGGTCCAAAACTGGAAACAGCTCTAATATCTACTAACTGGTGAAGAGATAAACAAATTTTAATACATTCACACAATGATCTATATCACTTGGCAGTAAAAATGAATGAATCAATGATACATGCTAAAATATGGATGAATCTTAATTATGCTAAAAAAAGAAACCAGACAGAGAAAGAGTACAAACTGTATGACTCTGCTTATATACTACTTTAAAAAAAAGCAAGCTAATCTAATGACAGAGAGAAGCTCCATAGTTGCCTGGTTAGTGTATGGTTGGGGTGAAGTCAGGGAGAGAGTAAGGAGACGTGAGTAGGAAGAATGACAGGGACAAGAGGAAACTTTTGGGGTGAACATGTACGTTATCTTATGATGATGATGAAACAAAGCAAAATATCATGAGAAGCAAAATAAGCACATAATTGGTACTAACAAGGAATGCAGCTGTGGTAGGGGATGTATACTGGGTGCTGAAAATGTTCTGTGTTTCTTGATCTAAGTGGTAATAATGTTGAGTGTTCACAGTTTTTGTTAAACTGCATAAATATGTTCAATGAACATTACTATATATTTTATAGTTCAGAAAATAAACACAGAAAGAAGTACTAGAATTGACATTCATGAAGTCACCAGTGATTTCAATAAGGTTGGTTTCAATGAAGTGATGGTAATGACAGCCAGGCAGGGTTGCAGAGGAAATGAATGATAACAATAAAGTTACTGGGTTTAGGCCCTTCTACAAGAAGTGTGGCTACTCAGAAAAAAGGTGAACACAGGGCTAGCGAGGGATTCAAGTTCAAGTGAGGACCTCTGAGATGGAAAAGACTCAGAATGTTTATAAGCACAGGAGAAAACTAGATGACATATAATGTAGACAAAATAACTGAAGTCCTAGAGTTGGTGAGTTTGAAATCTAGACCTCATTTTCCATGTGAAAGGAACCATTTCCTTTGAAATGGATGGAAATACAGCAAGATTAGAGTCATCCCCAAAAACTTCAGAAGGAAAGGGAGGAAAGCTGGGAGGAAAGCTGGAGTTTAAAACTAATAATCTGTTTCTTTATAAGTAGAAGGCAAGAGCATCTATGAAGATGGGTAGGGAATTCTAGAAATGCAGTGATGGTCTCAAATACACAGAGATGTAAAAGAATTGCCAAAACTATTAAGAGATTAAATTAGACTGGAAGTCCTGACTTTGAATAACATTTCTTCAATGTTATGCAGTTTTTTCTTACAAAGGCTGAATTTAAGAACAGAAAGAATGGCTGGATTATTCTAGGAATGGGAGGAGATGGAAGGCAAAGGGAAAGGGAATTAAGTTGGATTTGAGTTTATCAAATTCAAATTGAAAATGCACTTCACTACATATAGTTTATGATCTTTTAACTTTGCTTCATTAAAAATAATGCTGAATAAGCTGGGCATGGTGGCACATGCCTGAAACCCCAGTAGTTTGGGAGGCTGAGGCAGGAAGATGGCAAGTTCAAAGCCAGCCTCAGCAATGGTGAGGTAAGGTCTCAGTGAGACCTTGTCTCTAAATAAAATAGGGCTGGGGATGTAACTCCGTGGTCGAATGCCTCTGAGTCCAATACCAGGCACCCACACCCCCAAAAAATGCTGAATGAAAGAAGTACTTTAGAATAATTTTATTTGGTACACTCACTTGTATAACTCAGTCATTTGACAGGTATTATTTCATTTCTCAGGCTAAACTATTTAAAATATCAAGCTACATTTCTACCTATTAAGTAAATAAAGGAATTACAGGGTTTCCCACTATGCAAAAACATTAACAGAAATTAAATTTAAAAGCACTTTTACATGCAAAGACACAGAAGGCAAAAATCATTGAAAAGTAATTTTTAGGAGAAAAGAAGACTAAAACCTTAACTACAGAATAAATCATATAGGGCTGGGGTTGTGGCTCAGCGGTAGAGCGCTCACCTAGCATGGGCGAGGCCCTGGGTTTGATCCCCAGCACCATATAAAAATAAATAAAGATACTGTGTCCAATTACAACTAAAAAATAAATATTAAAAAAAAAGTAAATCACAGGCTGGGAGTGTAGTTCAGTGGCAGAGCACTTGCCTAGCATGTGTGAGGCACTGGGTTCAATCCTCAGCACCACATAAAAATAAACAAATAAAATAAAGGCATTCTGTCCATCTACAAGTATAAAAATTTTTTTTAAAAAAGTAAATCACAAGCTTTGATTATTATATTATCAAATATTTGTATTTGTTATTGTATATTTCTGTGACATAATAGTCTGTCATCACTAACATTACTATCTTTATAGTAAACTATCCCCCCAAAGGTAATTTTTATTATGACCCAAATCTAAGAACTTTAAAGTAATTAAATAATAAAACATTTTAAACTTACTAAAAGTTGGAAAAATCATATGCTTATTGATTTAGAGTAAAGCAGAAATGAGTGATAAAGCCACTATGGTTATTTTTTTTTCTAAAAAAAGAGAGTTACAGGGAAATGGATGGCATTAGAGCAGATTATGCTAAGTGAAGCTAGCCAATCCCTAAAAAACAAATGCCAAATGTCTTCTTTGATATAAGGAGAGTAACTAAGAACAGAGTAGGGTCGAAGAGCATGAGAAGAAGATTAACATTAAACAGGGATGAGAGGTGGGAGGGAAAGGGAGAGAGAAGGGAAAATGCATGGAAATGGAAGGAGACCCTCAGAGTTATACAAAAGTACATACAAGAGGAAGTGAGGGGAAGGGGAAAAATAATACAAGGGGGACAAACGAATGTCAGTAGAGGGGGCAGAGAGAAGAGGGGAGGGGAGGGGAGGGGAGGGGGGTATAGTAGAGGATAGGAAAGGCAGCAGAATACAACAGACACTAGTATGGCAATATGTAAATCAATGGATGTGTAACTGATGTGATTCTGCAATCTGTATATGGGGTAAAAATGGGAGCTCATAACCCACTTGAATCAAATTGTGAAATATGATATATCAAGAACTATGTAATGTTATGAACAGCCAACAATAAAAAATTTAAAAAAAAATAAAAAATAAAAAATAAAAAAAGAGAGACATCTTGGTTTTTAGAGATAAATGCAAAATATTTATGAACAAAATGATAAAATGTCTGGTATATGCCTCAAAATAATCTAAGGAGGGAAGGAAAAGAATTGGAAAAGAGTGGGGGTAGATGAAAGTCTACTGGCACAAGTGGTAATTGTTTGAAGCTGGAGGATCAGTATATGAGGTTCATCATACTAGCCTCTTTACTTCTGTACATGTTTGAAATTTTCTATTAAAAAAACTTAAAGTAATTAAGTAGTACAGAGTCATTTCTTAAGTAACCCAATTCTTGGAAGGACATACCTGCACACAAATGTTGGCACTTATACACCTACAGCTAGTAAAAGCAAAACAATCAATAAGAAACTAGTCTAGGTTACCATTTCTTTCAGAAGAATGTTAACATTTAGGTGATTTTATAAAGGTAATAAATGCTCATTCTACATAAAAGTCCCATATCTAGTTCTAAAATATTCTTTATAATTACAATTTCAAGTTATTAAATTCTTCTTAGTAACTGGCAGAAAAAGCTTTGTAAATTCAGCAGAGCTTTTTGGAAAAGGATACATGATGAAAAGATAATATGGTTATTGCGTACCTAACTATAATCACTGTATTTAGAAAGGTCTTTTTTTTTTTTTTTAAAAAAAAAGAGGCTTTTTTAAAACTTTATTTTATTTATTTATATGTGGTTCTGAGGATGGAACCCAGGGCCTTGCACATGCGAGGCGAGAGCTCTTCCGTTGAGCCATAACCCCAGCCCCTAGAAAGTTTTTTTAAAAAAATTTTTTTAGTTGTTGATAGACCTTTATTTTATTTATTTATATGTGGTGCTGAGAATTAAACCCAGTGTCTCACACTATGCCAGGCAAGTGTCTACCACTGAGCCCCAGCCCTTTTTTTTTTTTTTTTTTTTTTTAATGTGGGGAAAAATATTCTTCATTCTGCAAAGAGGAAATCTAAGAGCATGTATTCTATGTAAAAAAGTCCTTATTAATAACTTGTCCGAACTTATGAATGATTGTTATAAAATTAGTGTGAATGCCAAACAAAAGTTAACATACATCTAATAATATGAGAAATATTTTAGCTTACCATAAACAACTGGATACACTGTCCCTCGTATACCTGATGCAGGACAATGCATGTTTTTTCCATTCAAATATACATTTAATTCTACATGGTCATATGTAATACCCTATGAAGGAAGGAAAAAATAAAAAAGCCCCATAAGTATTAGAAATCATGAAAGCAAGAAAATAAACAAAAACCCAAGCATAGGGTCACTATAGTTTCCATTAAGGGTTTACAATCTGTTAGAACTCCACTTAAACTGAACTATAAAAATCAGTAGAGATTGTGTAGGGAAAAAGGCCAGGTAAGATCCCCAGCATTGACAGTGTAGCTTAAATCCTAATATTATTATTTATGTAATCTGGTTTTTATACTTTGAAAACAAAGCGACATAAGTGATGTAAGGGCTGCATGCCATAAACAGACTTTTTTTTTTAGCGGGGGGAGTACCGGGGATTGAACTCTGGGGCACTCAACCACTGAACCATCCCCAATCCTATTTTGTATTTTATTTAGAGACAGGGTCTCACTTAGTTGCTAAACACTTTGCTGTTGCTGAGGCTGGCTTTGAACTTGCAATCCTCCTGTCTCAGCCTCCCAAGCAGCTGGGATTACAGGCATATGCCACCATGTCCTGCCAAGACTTTTTAAACTCATAAATGAAACACTGTTCTTTGCTGGGTGCATGCCTGTAATCTCAGCTATTCAGGAGGCTGAGGCAGGAGGATAGCAAGTTAGAGGCCAACCTCAGCAATTTATAGAGAACTGGACTCAAAATATAATTTTAAAAAGGGCTGTGGGTATAACTCAGTGGCAGAATGTCCCTGGGTTCAATCCCCAGAATTGCACAAGGAAAAAAGAAACAACAACAACAACAAAAACCACTGTTCTCTGTAGAATTTGATCTTAAGGGAGGAAAACTCGAGGTTTTCATTATTAGGTCCTATAACCTGTTAGTGTTTTCAAGTTGTGAAGAAATGTCTTATATAACTTTATTTCCAAGAAGAAATCTACCCTGGTCTAAAAAATGTCCAGTATATTACTAAGGTAAAACTAGTTTTTGTAATTAAATAAGATTGGTAGCATCAAAAAAAAAAAAAAAAAATAGTAGCTCCAAAGATTTAAAATAGGGCTGGGGTTGTAGTTCAGTAGTACAGTGCTTGCCTACCATCTGTGAGGCACTGGGTTCGATCCTCAGTAACACATATAAATAAATAAGAGTATTGTATCCATGTACAACTAAATATTACACACACACACACACACACACACACACACAGCTTCAAAACAAATAATGGAATAAAAGTATATTACTTTATTTAAAATTTTTTTGTAGCTGTAGATGGACAGCATGCCTTTATTGTATTTGTTCATTTATTTATTTTATGTGATGTTAAGGATTGAACCTGTGCCTCACACATGCTAGGCAAATGTTCTGCCTAGAGCTGCCACAGAGCTACAGCCCCAGCCCAAAAGTATATTACTTGTATACATTACTGATGGTGGGAAAAGAGCACAATTAATAATAATAATTATTAAAATGCTACAGAACATTTAAGATCGCCTAGGTACTTCATATGTACTCACTTAATCCTCAAACAAGATAGATATTATTAGTCCCATTTTTATCAATGTGGTAGCTAAAGAACAGAAAGGTTAAACTTGCACAGCTAGGAATGGCAGAGCTGAGATTTAAATTTATTCAGGCTGGTTTCAAATACTTGCTTTTAAATCACCATGACATACTGCCTCTCTTTATATCTTTATACAATATAGGTTGGGCATCTCTATCTGAAACTTTTTGAGGGTTGACAATGATAGCACAAGGGAAAAATTCCACACCTGACTTTCTACAATGGGTCATAGTCAAAAAACACAGGCACACTAAAAATATTGTATAAATTACTTTTAGGCTATGCATTTCCTATTTAGACTTGGATCTCATTCCCAAAATACCTAATTATGTATATATAAATATTCCAGTATCGACCAAAACCTCAAATCAGAAACACTTCTGGTCTCACGCAGTTCAGATGAGGGATACTCAACCTGTAGTTACTAACTAATGACAAAAAGAGATCTTTCCTTTGAAGAAGTAAGAAAAGACAACTGAGATTTTCAATTGATAAATCATTGCAAACCAAGAAGCAAACTACTTCAAGGATTTCTGAATGTGGATAAATTATATCACTTTAAAAGGTTTTTAGAGGTAGAAACAGATCTAACAGATTTAAGTCTTAACTTTTTCCCTTTCTAGATAAGATAGCAAAGGCCCAGAAAAGCCATTGTGTTAAGTGCTATACAAGTTTCTCCTCAAATTTGATCAAAGCTAGGAATAAACAATGATTTATTAAAAATTTAAAAAATTGAGAAAGATGAAGAGTATATAGATTGTCTTTGCTTCATTTCAGTTTATATATTTATATATAATAATAAAGTTAACTAATGCCCAGGATTAGTTTTTTTAATGATGAGGTCTGTTTTAAAAAAACAAAAACCTAACTATATAAGAAAAGAAAGTATGTTAATCTCTTTATGGGACTATAGGAAATGCAGCAGTTCAACAAAGTAGGTTATAATCCAGGCACCCTTCACCACTAGGTAGCAATATACTCTATTGCAAGCAAGTGAGTTTTAAATCCAAGTCTCCAGCAGAAAAACAAAACCTAGTACCAAAGAAAGGCAAAGTTTAATTTAAGTATTTTCTAACTTAATCTGTTCTTTTATGTGATCTAGAAACTGGGTTTGATTCTGCCATGATGATACTAAAAGCACATAAGAATGTTTTTCCTGTCTTATAATTCTTTCTACTTTTTGCCAACTGTTAACAATTTGGCAAAATTTCTTCTCAAGAGTTTGAACACACACACACACACACATATGAATAATATTTTACTTTTTGCCTTGCATATATTTCTTTTTTTAAAGATATTTTTTAGTTGTCAATGGATCTTTTATTTTATTTATTTATATGTGGTGCTGAGGATTGAACCCAGGGCCTCACACATGCCAGGCAAGTGCTCTACCCCTGAACCACAGCTCCAGCCCCGCATATATTTCTTATTTTTTAGTTCTTCTTTTATCAGAATGGGTATGGAAATTTAAAGTGTAATTTAATAATGCTGACAGGCTAAAAATGACATTCTTAGATCTTTCAATCTGTGATATCAGATATCATGAATGAGATAAGATATGAAGGCAAGAGTAACACACAGAAGTTCAGCATATTAACAAAGAAAAACATTTGTTACTGATTATTCTTATGTTTGAATTTCATCTTTTAGTGTAAATAGGTTGACAGCCTTAACTCCAAAGATTTTTTTCTTTTATGAAATAACCATTTAAATAAAGATGTTCCATATTATACACATCTGGCAATGATCTATGAATATAAACAAACTACTTAAAAAAAAAACAGAACAGGGAAAGACAGGTTATGACTTTTGTCTCCTTTTCTTCAACTTAGGAAAAAAAAACTTCAAACAATTAAAAACCCCGTTTTTCATATTTTTTTTTAAGTTGCAGAAGAGAAGATTAGACCACAATTAAAAATTTTAGGGCTAGGAATGTGGCTGAATGGTAGAATGATTGCCTCACATGCACAAACCCCTGGGTTCAATCTATAGTACTACAAAAATACTGAAAAAAAAAAAAATCCCACACTTTTCTTTTAGTCTTTCTAAAATCCTGTATAATTCAATAACCTGTATTTGTTTTGTCTGGGTCATCTTATTAGGAGAAACTTTCCTTCATTATTCAGATTCCTTTCACCTTGATAATTAGAACCAGGAACCCAAGGTTCTGTGTACAAGAGTATGTTGGTTAAATGAGACTCTAGGACTCTGTTCTCAATCAACAGCTAACTTGGCTTGGACTCTAGAGACAGGGTTCTAGGCTAACATGAGTTGAGAAGAAGTGTCTAGGAAAAAAGATGAGGTCTTTGGGTTGCATTTTTAACAAGTTGCTTTGGTAAAGAGTAAAATAAGTCCCTTTGGGAAAGAAAATAAAGAATTCTTATAACATGTGACTCTTAACTTCTAAAAAAACCTTTTCTACAATTAAGTCTTAGGATTTTCAGTATAGTTCTCTGAAGATTTCTGAATGTGGAGGAGGTTTAATTAGATTAAGTTTAATGAAGACAGCCACTTCTAATTTAAAAATGCTGTAAATTTCAAACAAATGTTCAATAACAAATTAAGTATTTCCATTCTCAAAAATATCTACTATTTTCTAATACAAGGTCAGCAAATGTTTCAAATTGGGGCCAAGTTTTCTCTGATGTGACTTCTAGAAGTAGGAAATAGTGCTCAGCAGCCAATCTGTCACTAATCTACTTGAGAGGAAGCAAGGACTCCCTCTGATGCCCCCGGCCAGTGGCAGCTCTAGAAGGGAGAAGGTAATGAGGTAAGGCAGTGGCATCTACACCAAGTGCTCTCTCTGGAAACTGTTCCACCTTATTAGATTCAAACCCAGGCTTTGGAATCCAAACTACAAACCCCCAGGCAAAACTGTTATCTACTCAAAGCAGCTCAAGTGTAACAATTTACAGGGGATAGCAGCTCTAGCTACTAGAAGACTCACCACCACGTCTCCCTCCTGTGGAAGGCTGTTTGCTGGCAGCCTGTTTTTCTCTTCATTGTTGTGATATAGGGCTCCATCATTTCTCATCACCAGACTGTGCACATCTCGGCCAAGGGGAATCTGATTCAGGTTAACCTTCTGAGTTGCAACACCAATACCCCATATTCCTAAAAATACAATGGTTTAAATGCCCCCCCAAATCGAAAGAATGCAAATATAAAAGAGTCATTTTAAAAGGGAGCATAAACTGTTTTTTATTAAGAAGTATCACATTATCACTAAACTCTTTTCTTTGAATCTTTAAAAAAAATCTTTTAAAAGTAGTTTGCAAAGTGTATGTTTTCTACAGATAAGATGCAGCCTAGGAGATAAGCATTGTACTGCTAAAGTTCATATCTTGACCTAGTTATGTTATACTGAGCGAATTAATTAATGGCTGATTCCTCATCTGTGAACTGTGGAGTCTAAAAGTATTCACTTTATAGAGTTAGGAAAAGATAAGATCCAATAAACCAACCAAAATAGTGAAGTATTAAAAAAAAAAGTGTGTGGGGGGGTAAGTATTATGTATTAAAAAAATGCCAGTTATTGCATTATTCTTCTCTTTTTTAAAATATTTATTTTTTTAGTTATAGGTGGACACAATATTTATTTTATTTTTTTGTGGGGCTGAGGATTGAACCCAGTTCCTCACGCATGCAAGGCGAGCGCTCTCCCTCTGAGTCACAATCCCAGCCCCCATTACTCTTCTCTTAAAAAAATTTTTTTAAATGCTACAGGGCTTGGAGTATAGCTCAGTGGTAAAGCACTTCCCTAGCATGCACAAAGCCCTGAGTTTTGAATTTATACAAATACACATTGAATTTAAGTGGTCTGGAGTTCTCTCAAGATTACCTCTCAGTGAAAGATTACTGTCTTCAGTTTTTGCATCTATAAAAAGTGACAAATAATGTATATTGTTAACAATATAATGGAGAGAAGAAAAATCAATGATAAGGTATAAAATTATTTCCTTATTAAAAGTTGAAGTCAGTGAATTAAAACCTTTTGGTCTAAGTTGACTTTTGAAACAGCAGCTTTCCTTTTAACAGGCCGAACAGAATACTTATATTTTTATCTCAAACTGCTTCCATCTCATTTTTTATAAATCAGGAGAAATTCTATACATGGAAAAAGGTTTAAAGACCATGTTCTCTTGGGGCTGTGGTTGTGGCCCAGCAGTCGCCTAGCACATGCGAGGCGCTGGGTTCAATCCTCAACGCCACATGAAAATAAATAAATAAGCCAGGTGTGGTGGCACATGCCTGTAATCCCAGCAGCTCGGAAGGCTGAGGCAAGAGGATGGCGAGTTCAAAACCAGCCTCAGCAATTTAGAGAGGTGCTAAACAACGCAGTGAGACCCTGTCTCTAATAAAATACAAAATAGGGCTGGGGATGTGGCTTGGTGGTCGAGTGCTCCTGAGTCCTATTCCTGGTACCCAGCCCCCCCCCAAAAAATAAAATAAATAAAATAAAGGTATTGTGTCCAACTACAACTAAAAAAAAAAATAAAATAAAAAAATAAGACCATGTTCTCAATATATTAATTTTTTTGGATTGAGTGAGACCATCAGAAACTTGCATGTTTAAACTTCACCATCTTGGCCTTTGAAATAATATGACCATATACTTTGTCCTCCAAAGTAAGACTGTTATGAAAGTAACAGGAGGTGACAATACTAAATTCACAGGATTACACTTGCAGACAGGGTTCTACAGTCTCCTTACTCCTAAAGAACTGTGCACAGCTAGGTTTGGTGGTACATGCCTATAATCCCAGGGGCTCAGGAGCCTGAAGCAGGAGGATCACAAGTTCGAGGTCATCCTCAGCAGCTTGTCAAGGCCCTAAGTAACTTAATGAGACCCTGTCTCAAAATAAAAAATAAAGAGGATTGGGGTGTGTCTCCTGGGTTAAATCCCTGGTACCAAAACAGTAACAAATTCAACAGAACAAAACAAAACAAAAAGCCTCAAACTGTACACAATTGCCTCAAGCTTTCAACATAGGATCAATGCTACAAACTCCAACAATCCATTTATCCTAGGGATATCATTAGGGATGAGATCCTTCACAGAAAATCCACATAAAAATTTTTATTACATTTAAGGCTCAAGCTACTTAGTTTTCTTGAGAAATAAGTGTGTTACACTTGAGAACATTATAGTAACCAGGAATATTTTGCAGCCAGTGAGCTAACAAATGACAGATTCAGATTTATATAGTCCTTTAAGAAAAATCACTATTTAAAACTAATATAGAGGGGCTGGGGTTGTAGCTTAGTGGTAGAGTGCTTGCTTAGCATGTGTGAAGCCCTGGGTTCAATTCTCAGCACTGCAAATAAAAACATAAAATAAAGGTCCATTGATAACTAAAACATATTAAAAAAATAAAAACTAATATAGAAAACAAGACAGGCAAGATGGTACACACCTGTAATCCCAGCTACCTGGAGGGCTGGGGCTGGAGAATTATAAGTTTTAGGCCAACCTCAGCAATTTAGCAAAAAAGGAAGGAAGGAAGGAAGGAAGGGAGGGAGGGAGGGAGGGAGGAAGGAAGGAAGGAAGGAAGGAAGGAAGGAAACAAGCCCCAGAAGGATATTCTGTATTATTTTATATTATTATATTATTCAAGGAGTAATAGAGGAATTATTTACTCCTATTATGTGATAGAGTCCTATCATATGCCTGAGTAAATAAAATGGTGAATTTAAAACCTCTTAATAATGCTACTATCTTATATTTACTCAGCATACTCAGTAAGACACTTTCATACTTTTTTCTCACTTTCTGTGAGGGAGGGAAAAAGACAGCTCTTATAATCCTATTTTATAAAAGAGAAAACGGAATCTAATTTAACAAAATTGACTAATTTAACCAGGATCACACAATGACAAGTGGAAGATTCAGGTATTCTAAGAAAGAGTTTGGAACCTTTTTTTATTACCTACTGAATCTTTTTCATATATTCAAAATTTTTCTTAATATTTAGAACAATTAAGACCTGAAATAATAAAGTGCCATTATACTAACCTGTAGACTGGATTTTGAATTCAAAGTAGCTTTTGTTTTGATGTAAAGGTGCACTGGCTAAACAACCTCCTGTTCCACATATTCTTCTTCCATTTTTTACAATGACAACATCTGTTCCTAAACAAAAAATGCAGACACTATATAAAGTTTTATATTTTCATATTCAACAACTAGAGTTAATTCATTCACTTCTAACACTTAGTTCACAAAAAACAGGGTTGTTATAAGTACTTTGAAATATAGGAATACTGATCAATAACTTTAAATACTTAATTCACTGTTTAAAATAATTCACTGTTTTATTATATAGAGAACATTTCTATATAATATTCATTTGTAGCTATAAGTCTTGGTTAATTAAGTTGTTTCAAATAATCTTTAATAACTTTGTATTATGCTGAATATTTAAAATTCTTGTAAGGAAGAAATAGACTAACTCATTTAGTTTTTAGCCAATAAATAAATTGGATAATTTCATAAATCTTTTGAAGACATAAACACAAGAAGGTTTAGTAAATTAGTGCAATTTTTAATTCATTCTATCCAGGTGAATTAAATCTACTAATACCAACAGAATGTCTACTAAGAACAAGACACTATACTAATGCATCAGTCAAGTAAGCATTGAAGAGTACACAGAATATGGAAAGGAACACATATCTATGTTGATACAGCTGACACTGAAAAATGTCCCTTTTAGGATCTCCCGCCCCCACTTTTAGGATCTTAAAAGGTTTGTTTAGCTAGCTACTGTCCATCACATGGCTATATGTAAACAGGTTTTAACATCAATAAACACTCTTTCTTCTCATTGAAAATTTTAGTTTCAGCTCAGATAATATTTATAGATGAGAGAAAGAAAAATGCCATCTCCTCATATGTGACTCCTCTACGGATTTGTTTCCAAACCTTGGTTTAGGAAAGCATGTATATCAAAGAACATTAAGAGACAACATAAGTCTAACATGTAATAAATATCCTTTAATACAAAGGGATGTGAGTCCCAAAGCCTGTGGCCAATATTGCCATCTCACTGGCAAAAAGTGCATAAAACAAAGCATATCTAGATATGAGAACTGTATGAGATTCATCCAGAAGTGTTAAATAAAACTACCAGTTTTAGAAGACTGAATTCATATTTAAAGAAAAAACTATTTGGCAAAAACACATAAGAGAAATGCAAAAAAAAAAATTAGATTCTATCATTCTCTCTCTTAAGGTTAACATTTAGATTCTATCATGATTATTAAACATATATTAACATCTATTATTTTATAATTAAAAATGTTAAAACCAAATTCTGAGAAAGAATCATAAATAATTTGTATCTGGCTATCCTACATACTTTTTCTTTTTTGGTACCAGGGATAGAACCCAGGGGTGCTCAACCATTGAGCCACATCCCCAGCCCTTTTCACCTTTTATTTTTGAAGCAGGGCCTTGCTAAGCTTTTTAGGGCCTTGCTAAGTTGTTGAGGCTGGTTTTTGAACTCGCTATCCTCCTGCTTCTGCTTCCCAAGTCATTGGGATTAAAGGAGTGCACCACCGCACCTGGCTACTCTACATACCTCTGTAGTTGCAACTGGAGAGCATTCTCCCTGATGGCAAAGACCCTGCAGTGTTTGGCATCTAGTGGATGCTCAGCAAATTTGTTCAATGAATGAATAAATAAGCTGTGCTAAGTAAGCACTTTGTAGAGGACATGCAGCATCTGCTTTTCCTTTCTGGATATACTTCCCCCTGGGATCAAACAATTCCAAGGAAGATGATTCAATCTCTGACTTCAGGGTACAGCATTTGATCTAGGTTAAGTCAATCAGTAAAATCCAAATTTCGTGGTTACAGTGATAAATCAAGAGTGGTCATGTGATATAACAAAAAACAATTAGAGACTAGGTGTGAGGATTTTTGCAGAGAAGTATGGAAATAAAGACACTTTCATTCATCCAGGCCCCAGCTACTCTGGAGGCTGAAGCAGATGGATCACAAGTTCAAGGCTAGCCACAGCAACTTAGGGAGACCCTGGTCTCAAAATAAAAAGTAAAAGAACTGGAGATATAGTTCAGTGGTAGAGTGCCCCCAGGGTCAATCCCCATTACCTCAAAAACAAAACAAAGAAAGACACTCTCATTCTTTTTATATCTGAATGAGGAAGCCTACAGCCCAGGCAGCTGCTTCAAGGTTTCTTGGAAGTTAAGCTTCAGGAACAAATAACAGAAGTTAGAGGAAAGAAATGAAAAGAAACCAAGTTGTTGGTAGCACTGAGTCTTTCCTGAAGCCAGGGCTCCCTTTGTACTTTTCAATTACAAGTACTAATAAATTTCCTTCACTATTTAAACAATTCTGAGTTGTTTTTTTCACTACCCGCAACTGAAAGCATCCTTATAAAACATATTTCCAAAGATTATACAAACAAATGGTAAATTCTTTTTCTTAACTGGCAGTGAGTGGTCTGTGGTTCTCCCACATTACTAAAACCTTTTAATAACCAGCTTCTATAATAGATAACTTAATGTCTTGGATTTCATCCTTGCTAAGTTAATAGAAATACAAGACTTTCAAAACAATATAGTCTGCCAGGTGTTGGTGGTGCATGCCTGTAATTCCAGCAGCTTGGGAGACTGAGGCAGGAGATCCTAGGTTTGAAACCAGCCTCAGTAACTAAGGGAGACTCTATCAACTTAGCAAGATTCCTATCTCAAAATAAAAAAATAAATAAATAAAAGCAGTTCAGTGATTAAGTCCTTTGGGTTCAATCCCTGGTACCAAAACAAAACTAAATAAAATAATATAGTCTGCTCTCAGGGTTGAAATCACAGAAACAACTCTAACATGGTATTCTCTTATTTCAATATTATTTTTTCTGGGCTGGGGCTGTGGTTCAGTGGTAGATCGCTTGCCTGGCATGTGTGAGGCACTGGGTTCAATCCCCAGCACCACATAAAAATGAAATAAAAGTACTGTGTCCACCTACAACTAAGAAAAATACATATTTAAAAACTAATTTTTATCTCCACAGCATTCTGTTAGGCACTGAGATGTTTTATATAGAAAAATGAATATGTTCAGAGAACATTCTGGGCCATTTGTGAATCACTGGGGAATCATTTTAAGCTTATTCCATTTCTCCTTACTAAGTAAAAAGATACTCTGTATTTGGATCTATGTGATATGTGTAGTTTTGGAAAGTCAAGTCCAGAATATCATAGAAATACGGCCACAGAGTATGTTTTAGAAACATTAGAAATTTCCAATCATGTAACATTCCCTTACAAGTAGTAGTCATGGGAGACACTGATTTCTAAAAAGTTAATCACGATTAAAAGCAGCAAATAAGGCATCAAAGAAGACATTCACAAAAACTATGCCACAGAAATTCCAAAAGAGGAACATCATCAAAATAAGTGACTACTCTAAAGGAGGTATCATTTAGATATGATATGTAATAGACTATTTAAAAAAAAAAAAAAATCAAAGCCAGGCAGTGAGTGGCATGTGGGAGGCTGAGGTAGGAGGATCACTTGAGCCCAGATCAGCCTGGGCAACAAAATGTGACCCCACTTGCGGGGGGTGGTTAGCCATCACATTCTTTTTTTTAAATATTTTATGTATTTTTTAGTTTTTGGCGGACACATCTTTGTTTGTATGTGGTGCTGAGGATTGAACCAAAGCCGCACGCATGCCAGGCGAGCGCGCTACCGCTTGAGCCACATACCCAGCCCCACATTCTTTAGGTTATCTATATAACATATCCAAATACATGCATATTGGCTTATATTTTCAAATGAAGATCAACATGTGCTTGAAACTCTCCTCTCATTTTTTTCAAGTTCTCAAATCAGGCTTCTTTGGGATTAGAGAACTTGAATTTACTAAAGACAGGTAAAGAAAAAACTTCCATGCACATAGAAAATCTGATGATGGGATCACTCTACTATATTTGTAGCTTAAAAGGGCTGGGCAGCGTTGGGGAAGGCAAACAGTGGAATGAGTATAACCTGTTTCTCCTACATAAGACATAGGCCAGAAAAAAAGGAATGTTCTAGAGTACACTGCTGAGATTCAAAAGTCTGACAGTAGAGAAAGGAAGAAGAGCTAAGGCTGCTTTAAGTTGCAGAAGAAATATATGGTTGCCCTTTACTGTATCCCCAACAGTTAAAACAATGTCTGCCATTTGTCACAAAATAAACATCACTTCAGTAAATCAATAAGTGAAATGGAAATGTTTTCAGACAGGATCTGAATATCCACTGTCTATAAATACATTGATAAATAACAGATATTTATTTATATAATGAGGTTCTGCACTACATGTGAAAGATCTAAGAACTGAAAGCTCTGTAAATACCATCATACAAGGTAGTAAACAATTATCACATATAGTACGTGCTATCAAAATATAATGGAAAACGGTTCCAGAATATAAAGAATCTGAGCAATAGAGTTGTGTTATACATATTAAGAACTGTCTTCATTATTTGTCTTTGTTATACAATATACTTTACACACGAGACATAGGAAAAAATTGAAAGGGCAGAAGTATATTTAGACTAAAATAATTCATATTATTGTAGCTTAAAGGGGCTGGGCAGCGTTGATTTTAGTATCCTAACTAAAATCATCATATTGGAAAATCTCTCCTGCTTGAACCATATATTCTAGACTATACGGAACAGTAGGTGGTAAAAGAGGCTACGTAGGGGAGAGGAAAAATGTTAGATGAGAACTTACTGGCGGGGGAAAAAACACTGAAGCGATGGAGCAAAGTGCTGATTTATTTTGCAATGCCTAACCTATTGGGATGACGCCAGTTAGATAAAATTACAGTGCTTCCAACAGTGACTAAGGGAGAATCTAGGAACGGGAGCTTTTAGTCGAAATAGCATGTTCTGACCTGAGGTGCGACTTCAGGCTTCTGCAATCTGCCTTGTTTTGACTTTGGGAGGTGAGGGTGGAATTGCTTCCAAAAAACCCCAAGCTTCATCCTATACGTGATGGGGCTAAAGTGAAACAACCGATTGTCAGGGCAGAAGACCCTAACGCATTCCGAAAGTGTGCGAGTCCTGAGAGGCGCGCCACAAGCTAACGCGGTGAGGGCGCCTCCGCTCCCCTCGCCTGGGGACACCTGACACCTCAGCAGGAGGCAACTCCAGGAGCAGATCAACACACCCACTCCCGACGCCAGCCAGGGAAGGCTGCGCAGCCTTGAACACAGCCCGGCCCGATGGAGGCGGCCAGCGACAGGCGAACTCCGCGAGACTAGAGAGAGGGTGCCGCGGCAGCGAAGCCGGGCGAGGCGGGGTCGGAAGCCTGGGCGACGCGTGGTCCCTCCGACCCCCGCCTTGCCTCCCGCCCGCCGCCCCCAGCCTGGGGCCGTTGGGTATGGGAAAGCGAGGGCCCTTACCCATGTGCTGCGTGTCCAGCTGCACAGCCGGCATCTCCTTCAGAGGGATGTGGCCAGTCCCGCCGTCTCTGCAGCACCGCAGGCAGCACAAAACCGAAGCGGCCATCGCGCAGGGACCACCGCTCCGTCGCCGCCACCGCCCCTATACCGCGGCGACACCGCCCCTCACCGTGCCGCCCCGCCTCCTGTCCCCGCCCGAGCGCAAGCGGCGTGTGGGGCGCAGAAGCTGGCACAGCGACGCCCCTGGCCGGGAGGCGCAGCGCAGGCTGATGCTAGCCGGGCCTGGAAGGAGTGGAGGATAGGCGGGCTGGGCCGGGGAGGTGGGCGGAGTTAGTGCCGTGAATGGATGGAAGAGGGCGTGGCGGGCGTGCGGGAGGCGGTGTGCGCCTGCGCACCGGGTGGTTTTCTTCTCCCCCCCCCCCCCTTGGGCGGCTTCACGCCCACCCCTAACGTTGACCGGTGAGGCTGTCCCTCTGCACTGTCGCGGTTTCTTGTATGAGTTTTTTTTTTTTTTCAGTTCTGTTCTGTTCGTTTTTTTTTTTTTTTTTTTTTTAAAGATGGGGTCTCGCTATATTGCCAGACTGGTCTTGAATTCTTAGGCTCCCGCGATCCTCCTGCCTCAGTCTCCTGTGTAGCTGGGACTATAGGCGCGCGCTCTCCGCCGGGTTGGATGTCAGGTTTTTAAAACTGTGCCTTTTTGCTCCACCATTATTTAACGCGCGGATTGACAGAAACAGGCCAGGACTATGGGGAGCTATTCAGAGTGACCTCCGAGGTTTCCCTTGTTCACCCAGGCCTGAGCAAGCTGTGCCTCCTAGGAGAGTCTATGTACTTCTCCAGGGGTTGGTTTCTGAAGAATTTCCGAACATGCTAACTGACGCACACGGGTGCCAGGAGAAAATGCCTTTTGGTGATTGCACTGTGGAGTACAAGCGGGGCCCCGCTGCATTTTAGGTACAGAGACGTACATGTACATTCCCTGTCCGTTGGTGCTGCGTGATCCGGGGCGCCCTAGGAGGGGACCCAGTGGTCGCTGCGGGAGGGCGACTCTTGACGGGTCTCTTCCAAGCACAGGTGCATTGACGATTCCAAGTGAAGGGAATCCTGGAAGCTGTGGGAAGACTACTTGGACCCCTATGGAACCCCTCTGTACCTACCGTCGCTCGTTCTACTCCTTTTTTTTTAAAAAAAATAATTAATTTATCTTACTTAGGTATATATGACAGCAGAATGCATTTTGATTCATTTTACACAATTGCAGCACAACTTTTCATTTCTCTGGTTGTATGCCACGTAGAGTCCTACCATATGTGCAGTCATACCTGTACTTCGGGTAATGATGTCCATCTCCTTCCACCATCTTTCCTGCTCCCATGCCCCCTCCCCGTCCCTCTCTCCCCTTTGCCAATCACAGTTCCTCCATTTTTTTCCCATTCCCCTCCACCCCATTATGGATCAGCATCCACTTTTCTTCCAAGTAGAAGGCCACGTGGCTGTCACTTGTCATCTCCTTCCCCCTTAGACCATTCTTCTTTGGTAGATTTTACACCTTCATATACCATAAAAACCACTAAAGAAAATCCTGAGCATGATGATGAACTACACTCTGATATACCACTTGGCGTCTGAAGGATCTGGGAAGGCCTTTAGAATTAACTGAGCTCAAATACCTATTCCCAGATCAGGTTTCCATCCTGAAGGCCTCCCTGGGGCTCATCAAGACCTAGGCAAGGAACAGCACATAAATTTCCATTACTTAACGGATACCTGTACATAACTTTTTAGTCAATTGAGTACAAATATACTTTATGGAGGATTTTTATCCATTGAATAAGGAAAATTTTTCAGGCCCCTGAGTCTGTTTTCTCCATATAAAAATGATGTTTTCGTTTCAGTACTAAGGAAAATTTCCCAAGTTTTGTACTTTGAGGTTTAGTTCCCATAGGATTAATTGCCAAACAGATTGAGGGTTCTCTCTCCATCCCAACACTCTGCCTATGAAGTATGTTTCTTGGTAATCATTGTACACATGAATTTTTCTTTTACTGAAAACCTTGACCTTTCTAGAAATTTAGTGATACAGTTTTTTTTTTCTTCTTCTTCCAGGGGAGAAGGGTACTTCATAGAATGTTGGAGATGTTTCTGCCTTTGTACTAGAAGGTAGGCAGTCTTTTCACATATTTATCTAACTGAATTTTTGCAAGTTTTGAAGATCAGTACTATCCTTATTTTATAGTTGAAGAAATAGGCTTAGAGGAATTAAATAACTTATGCATCTTCAGATGAGTGAGAAATATACCAGGTAGGATTCAGAACTCACTAGCCTGACTCCTAAGCCTTGGTTCCATCAGATAATGCTGCCTCTCAAATTCTCAAGTTCTAACTTGTAAATCTCCATGCTCCATAAAACAGTCATCACTTGTATATAGACATTATATAAAACAAAATTAGTTGTAAGGTAAAAATTTTTGTTTGGAACTATTATTAAAAGTAGTATATGCATTAAGTACGTAATAAACATTTAGGCCATTCAGGTCAGTAACATCTTCAGTGAAAAACCAGAATAGTAGATGGCTGTGAATTAGCCCTTAATGTAGAGAGGCAGAAGTGCCATAGTCTTTTCTGTCTGGAAAAGTAATTTGCCCACTGCACTTTGCCCTCCTGTCCCAAGTCAAGTGTACTCAGCAGAATAAAGCAAGCAAAACCGGTTAGCTCCTGAAACAGATTCCCTATCTTGGCAGATGAATGCCATCTGTGAGCTCATGGACTTTTTTCTTCTCATGTCTGGGATTCTATTATACTCTTTTTATTACTTTCAAATAGTTATCCTTTCTCTTTGAAAAGCACAGTGTTGGGCTGGGTTTGTGGCTCAGTGGTAGAGCACTCCCCTAGCACGTGGGAGGCCCTGGGTTCGATCCTCAGCACCCCATAAAAATAAATAAATGAAATAAGATGATATTGTGTCCAACTAAAAAATAAATATTTTAAAAAAGAAAAGCACAGTGTTAAAGATATTTTCACAGCTAACACTTTAAATAATAATCATGAATCCCTATAAAATGTTTCTTAATAGTTAGAATGCTGTTTGTCTAAGTCAAAAGCAATAACAAAGAATCACTACTGGGGGAGAAAAGTCTGCTTAGGTGACATATGCCAGGAACTGGAGAACTGATAGGACAATAATGTAAAGCATGTATTTCATAGTGTAGTTTATCATCATGCTCAAGATTATTTTTAGTGTTTTTTATGGCAGGCAGATATCTCCTACTCACACTCTGTACTGGGTCATACAAAGTGGTTTCTTTCTTAAGAACTTATTAATCAGTTATTAAGTCAAACATCTTTTCTTATTGTAATCTAAATCACATTTTCAGGTGCCTGAAAATCATAAACATTACAAATGACATTCTAAAACATGATCTAGTCATTATTATAAATTGGAGTAATATAACTGACAACGCCCTGGGTTCAATCACCAGCACCATTAAAAAAAAAAAAAAAGAAAGAAAGAAAAAGAAAAGAATACAGACCAAGAGCTAGACCTCCTGTTTTTAATTCAGTTTCATTCTTCATTGACTGTGACTTTGGGGCTGCTGACATGAATCCTACAAAATGTTTCTTAATAGTTAGAATGCTGTTTATCTAAGTCAAAAGCAATAACAACTTTGTGAGGGAAAATCTATCCTTCACTTTATAGAAAAGGAAACTGAAACGAAGTAAAGATAGAAGATATACCCAAAGTCACAGTCAATGAAGAATGAAACTGAATTAAAAACAGGAGGTCTAGCTCTTGGTCTGTATTCTTTTCTTTTTCTTTCTTTCTTTTTTTCTTTTTTTTTTTTTTAATGGTGCTGGTGATTGAACCCAGGGCGTTGATGCATGCATCAACTTAGCTATATCCCCATCCCTGTATTCTTAATCACTATGCACATTATGCAAACTGCCTAGGTTGCTACATTTAAAAATAGGTTTCTAATTTTTTGTTTGTTTGTTTGTTTCCTTCTAATGCCTTGCCTCAGAAATTGACATTTAAATTTACCTGGGATTGACCTGGGGATGTAGCTCAGTGGTTCAGAGCACATGGCCAGTATGTATGAGGCCCTGCGTTTAATACACACCTAAAAACAAAAATAAACCAGAAAAAAACTGGTGTTAATTGCATACATTTAGTCTATTACTGAATAATAAAGTATGTTACCTATATTCAACAACCAAAAGTAAATGAGAAAAGTAAAACAAGAACTCTATACTTCAATAGACTGCCATTAGTCAGTTTGCAGCTGTACTCTGTCAGCAGCCCCTTTGAACTGTTTGGCAAGACTGTCCTCAAAGGGTGGCTCTAAAGAAAGATAGAAAGGATATTTAGTACTTTTAATTGCTTAGTCAGTTAAGCCAGGTAGGAGACTTGGAAAATACAGAGATTTGGCATTAGAAAGAGAAGAGAAGATGGAATAAAGGAATTTGAAAAATAAACAACAACAACAAAAAAATAAGAACAATAGAGGGTAGAGCAAAAAAAAAATTTATATTGAAAAAGAAGAGAAGCTGGGCATGGTGGTGTATACCTGTAATCCCAGTGATTTGGGAGACAGAAGCAGGAGGATCACAAGTTCAAAGACAGCCTCAACAATTTAGGGAAGCCCAGTCTCTAAATAAAGAAATAAAAAGAGCTGGGGATGTAGCTTAGTAGTTAAGTACCCCTGGGTTCAATCCCTGGAACCAAAAAAAAAAAAAGAAGAAGAAGAGAAAGAAACCAATAGCTAGTGGGAATAAAAAGTATGTTTTACTACCCCAAATTTTCAGCCAAACAACTGTTCCTGCTTCCTTCCAGTGGAAGATAAAGTAGGCAATCATCATCCAAGGGGAATTCTGCAGATCTCTGCTCAACCTCCAGTTCCCCCACTCAAAATACAGGCATCCTAGATATCTAAATATATTTTCCTCACCAATTTAGATTCCAAATACTACTGTGGCAATAATTAGGAAACAGGAACATTGAGGATACAAAAAGGAGGCAAAAGGTCATTATCAAAGTAGGTTTTTCATTCTCAAGAGATATGAAGGAAGATGATGGTAAGTACAGTTAGTTCTTAGATCTTCCCTAGTTATCTATTTGTTGAGAGGGCACTTAAACTTGTGGCGTGCCTACAAAGAGTTGATGAGAAGTGTTTTTTTTTTTACAATTTTTTAAATAT